AAAAATACCATGTATTGGATATTAGATTTTATGTTCCTATTTTTAGGATTAATTATTTAATTAATTGCATTATTAGAATAAAATCATAAAAATATCATTCATTTTACATTTTTTAGCTTTAATGCTAGATTAGTAATTTCCCCTTTCGTTAATTTAGGATTAATTAACTTTATAAATATTGCAAATAGATAATTAGCTTGATTTTATAACTTAGATTAATTTAGGATTAAATTCAAAATTAAATTAATTTAGTTAGGATTTTTAAAATTAAAGGAAAAGAAAGAAAAAAGAAACAAAACAAAAGAAAAGGCTGGTTTTTTTTATTTGGGCCACCCAAAAGAGCAAAGTTAGTGGCCCAAATCCCATTTCTTCTCTAAATCTGCTCAAGCCCAATACCCCATACCCGGTCCGGTTCCCCCACTACCAAAATGATGCCGTTTACCCTCCCCTCTAATCCCAGCCGTTGGATCATCCTGATCCAATGGCTCGCAACTGCCCATCCTTTAGCTATAAAACTATCCGAACCCCTTGAAACCCTAGAGACCCCTTTCACTTCCGTCTTCCATCTCTCCAAATATGTAACCCTAGCCGCCCTGTAACCCCTCGCCGGCTCCGCCCTCCTCCGCCGCCCGGAAATCGCCTTATGGCGGTGGAGTACCTCCAAATCGCCTCAAATTCACACCATGTAACCCTGAGCCCCTCCCAAACACTAATCCCTCATTAGTTTCTCCCAAATCATCACCCAAATCCTCAAATTTCAAATCCGAAAATCACACACTAAACCCTAGGTCACCCAAACAACCCCAAATTTTTACCCTACACTCCTCATACCCCCCTAAGCACAAATCTGCCATTAGTTTCCTTTGAATCCCTACCTATTTTTCTTAATTTTGAATTTGAAATTCTGAAAAAACCTAATCCGTTCCTAACTGCGATTTCTGTGCTTCCAAGGCTCGATTTGACTCGAGACTTACGTTAAGAACAAGAACAATTGATTAACGTTAGTCTTGGTTCGTTTCGAGAGTCGCCGGTTTCTGACCAAGACCACTGATGCCTAGCAAAGTTCGTCGCCCTCGTCATTCGTTGAGTTGCTTCAGTCGTCGATTCATTCCCGCCAAAACCAGTACCCTTCCTCTTTCTTTTCCTTTCTTCGTTTCTGTTCTGATTTGTTCTTTTATTATTTACCGGTTTGAATTAGTTCTTTTTGTTTATTTGTTTGAATTAGTTTGTTTAAGGTCAGTTGATTCTAATTGGTTAGTTGTGTAGGTTTTAAGTTAATTGAGCTACATGAACTAGTTATTAACTGATTTGCATATCTCTTAGGTTTATTGCCAAGTGAATTTAGTTAATGTTTGGGTACTGATTAATTTCAGAATGTTCAAATGTTGCTGGGGTAATTTGTGACAGATTTTTACTCTGATATTTGGTTCTGGGTCGGCCAATGAAGGCCTGGTCCATTAAGGCCTGAGTTGTTATTGGACTTGGGCCTGTCTTAGGCCATTTGGCCATGACAATCGGCCCAGACTTAAGAGGAAGATTCTAGAAGTGTACCAGCTGTCCAGAATTGTTAAAAAGATGCTGAAAAACTGGACAGTTGTCCATTATTCTCTGTCATAATATGTTGTACTATCCAGAGAATTTAGGTCAGAATATTCTTTGGATGCTATTTTTGGTGACACTATAAAAAGAAAAGTTACTCCCTCATTCTAGACAGATTTTCTGACCCTAAAAACACCTCTAAAAGTTCAGCCTTACTGTTCCATTGGTAACTGATCTATTTTTCTGATTTCGACTTAAGTTAGAATAAATTTCCCTTTGAGATTTCTGGGTTTCCTGAGCTGCAAGATGGTTTGACGTTGAAGTTGTGATACTGATGTTTCTTTGCTACTAGTTTCATTGGTTTCCTGCTGCCTTTCTGTTGTTTCTTAAAGATTCACTGCCTTGTTTTTGTTCCTTGTAACCAGGTATCTCTTGAGCTTTGAATGATGAATGAAATGCAAGTATATTTTTTGAAGGGTGTACTGCTGCTGTGAAGTTTTATGTTCGTGTTAATTTCAGTTTCTTCATGTTTTTTTTAGTCATTGGACTCTGTTTCTTTAGCTTCTTCCTCTCTAGCTTATACTTGAGTACATTAAAACTGCTGTGTTATTCCATGAATTAGTTGGTATGCCTAGTGTTGAATGTTCTGAATAGTTCATCTTTCATGTGTTGGATTTGTTAGTCTATGATATGGTTAGGATATTCATGGGGTGAATGCCAAATGGTTCTTCTTTTCATGTTTGTTGTTCGAGGGTTCAAAATAACTGGTAGTGTCGTCAACTCATTCTGTTTATTTATTAAAAGTGTTGAATAGTATGATGGTCTTGTTGGCCAACTTGTAGGTTTGAGATCCAATTTCATACATGATTGAAAGAAGTCCATTAAATGACATTCAGATCTGTTAACTACAACTCCAGTACTGCTGAAGTAGTTACACACCTAATGTTACTGGATTAATCAGTAGTTTAAGGTAGTTCAAGTCGATATTGTATTACTAATGGCATATTAAAGATTTAAGGCTTATGGCATGGTTTATCAGTATACTTTGATTTTTCTTAATTTGATGTAATGTTTTTTTTATCAAAGATTGAGGGTCAGTAAGATCTCAGCAATTCCAAAGGCCTTCTTGTTGAAATCGTTGGGCCTGATGTTGGCCCAATTGAGGAGGCCTGGTCGGAATCACCTCTTGTGTGGTTTCTGAATTCTTTCTACTTCTGGGGTTCAATTTTGAGCCCAATCAATACCACACGTTATTGTTCTTCAAATTTGGTACTTCATTTGAGTTTTAGATGTCCAAATGCATCCACATTCAAAAGAAAGTCGGTATCTAATTGCTAAGTGATATCCAGTTTGTATCCTAGATTTTCATTTATGGTTAAAATAATTACATGGCTGATCTTAATGTGATTAAAGTAGTTTAAGTTAATATTGTATACTAATGGCTTGTTAATAAATTAAAGCCCAATATGATTGTTCGGCATTTGATTTTTTCCAAATTTTTTTTTATGTTACACTGATTTAGAAGAAATTAAGCTTCAATAGGGCCTTAATGTCGAAGGTTCTCTTGCTAGAAGTGGTTGGGCCTGGCAGTGGCCCAGGTGAGGCAGCGTTGGTTGAATCCGGACCAAGCGTGCCTTTAATTTCTACTTCTCTCCGCTTTTGGGCTCAATTTCGAGCCCAATCAAATCTTAGCACTTCTGTTCATTAATTTTTGACAGCCTAATGGGCTTACTGTTGGTCCAGGTCTTTCAAAAAATAATTAAAGGTCCAACCCATCTATCCCAAGCTTGTATACAATTAGTAGTGTTATATTGAACTTCGAATTAGTTTCAAATATGAACATTCGTAGTTTGCTTTAGGCGCGCTATAATAAACCATCATGATTATAGGTACGGTTCCCGTGGCATAGTTATGATGCCTAATTCCAAAATTTGGGTGTGCATTTCATGCGACCCGATCATAACAACTTCAAACATTAATAAAAATAAACATGTCGCGAACCGCGGGTGCATTTCATGTAGCGTGGTTTGCGGTGTGTTCCAAAACGGCAAGCGTACAACAATCGTAACTTGTTCAAGAAATAATTTCATAAATCCTAAAAAGTGATTAAAATAATTAAAAACGGTTTTAAAAGGTTAGATAGGTTTAAAACGTGTAATTAATTAGATAATTAGGCCAATTATTAATAGTTAAGCGACCGTGCTAGAACCACGAAACCCGAGAATGCCTAACACCTTCTCCCGGGTTAACAGAATTCCTTACCTAGTTTTCTGGTTTCACAGACTTTTAAATGAAGTCAATTTTCCTCGATTTGAGATTTTAAAAATAAACTGGTGACTTGGGACACCATAAGAAATATCCCAAGTGGCGACTCTAAATAAATAAAATAATCCCATTTCAATTAATGTCACTTTAATCGAAAAACTCCCTTATATACCCTCATTGGGTAAAAAGGAGGTGTGACAGGTGTCACACAAAGGAATAAAGGTCAACTGCACTAAGGTTGATGTGATAGAAAAGTTGCCACTGCCCACTTCAGTCAAGGCAATAAGGAGTTTCCTCGTTCACGCCGATTTCTATATGCAATTTATAAAAGATTTACCAAGGCATGGTTGAGGAGGAAAAACTGGTCTCAACTATTTACTTGAGGGATACTTGATAAGCATTAGTAGGGGTGTTCAGAAAAACCCGAAAAACCGAACCAAACCGAAACCAAACCAAACCGACCAAAAAAACCGATACTTTTTGGTTTGGTTTGGTTTTGGTTTTGAATTTTAAAAACCGATCAAATTTGGTTTGGTTTTGGTTTTAATCAAAAAATAACCGAAAAAATCGAACCAAACCGACTATAGGAGTAGCTATTTCATATTTATTATTACACCTATATATATGTACATTTTTATACAAAATTTCAAAAAATTTATGGTGAATATTAATCGTTTGCACTTTTAGTACAGTTTTTTTACCGTTATATTCTAGTTTGATTGGTAGTTTTCTTTTGTTAAGTGTAAGAATCCATTTCATGTTAAAAAAAATATTTTTTTAATTGAGTCCTTAAATTATTAATCACTATTTGATTCAATTATCATCAATATATTTTAGTATATAATAGATTTCTCAAAGGGCAATTGATTTGATAGTGTTACGTTGAAAATGTGGTTGCCGGAATATGTGTTTGGTAGTGTATGTCTTATATTTAAGAAAAAACCGACAAATAACCGAAAACCTGACAAAACCCGATATAAATCGAATCAAGAAAAAACCGACTTAATTAGTTTGGTTTGGTTCTAATATTTGAAAAACCGACTTACTTGGTTTGGTTTCTTTTTAGGAAAAAACCGATCCAAACCGAACCATGAAAATCCTTAAGCATTAGCATGCGTCGTGACGAGATATTAATTGGTCGCTTCTTAGGAGTCAACCCATGGTGGTAGTGTAGTTCGTCGTGCCACGGCGTTATTAAAAATTTTGTTAGGAGGCAACCCGACCATTAGCTTAGATGTAGTTTTAGTTTGGATTTATGTTTTTATCCACTCTAACGAGTTAGCTTTGTGTGCCTTTTGTCTGCTTCGCAAAGTTCTCGAGCTACACGATGATATAAGTGATCATGACTCAAAGATAACGAATGGGTGCCAAAACAACTGCCCACACAAGTTTCCACGCCTGAAAAAAGAAAGGTCACATCGACCCTCTGCAACCCATGTCGCTGGAAGACACAGCCAAATTTTCCGTGTTTGGGGCCACATCACACCTAGTATGGTGCACAAACGTGGTGAAATTTATCCCAAGCCACTTTCCCCGTACTTGTTCCGATTATTGTTGAAAGGAGTGTTTCACACTGAATTCCCAAGTCAGTTTTGAAGGGTAAAGTAGTTCCTAACTCACAAAAATACTCATACACAAATTTTGCATGCTAAGTGTTTGATGAATTGCCTCAAAGGCAATTCAAGTCCCCGTTGGAGCCCGAATCTTCAAGATTCTATTTTGAGAGAATGATTAGCATAAGAATTAAGTGTAGGGTGGCTTAACGGAGTCGGGTAATTGTTGAAAGATTTACACAAAATTCGTGCTTCCTAGTGTCGCTTTTGTTGTTTGAATGCTAAATACGCTAAATTTAAAAAAGGAAAATATGAGTAACTTGTGATTATCTAGTTAGAATATGCTTGAGATTTAAAGTGTGGGGCCGTTCTGACACGTTTATGATTTCTTACTTGGATCGCTAAACTGATTTAGTGTGTTGTTGGTAGGTACTTTGAAAAATGGTTCGCCTAAAATCCAGTGCAATTAAGGCTAAGGCTTTGGCTCAAACCAAAGCTCTGCCTCAAGCTATGACCTCCACTTTAGCACCACCACCTAAGAAAAGGAATCGCATTGAGGTCATCTAGTAGCAAGGCAAAAGGGAAGCAGTCAGCCTCCACATCAGCTCTAGCTCAGTTGTAAGAAAAGAACAAACATATCTCTGGTACCAAGCATGTTTGACCCTACGGGAAGGCAAGGTACAAGAAGTTTCGTGCACCCATGTACACCTCTATACGGCTATTGGTGAGAATACTTTGAATGCTAAGTATAACGACATATGGGAAGTCGTGCATAACATGGATTAGGGCTTTGTGTTCAAAACTCCAGGAGAGTCAAATGTGAGTATTATTAGAGAATTCTATACATTTTGGGATGTTCGTGTATTTGGTATCCATTAGCGCGCGGGAGGTTGATTATCTTTTCACTTAGGGGTCGTTTGGTAGGATGCATTAGACATGCATTAGCTTTGTGTATTAATAATACATTGTTTGGTAGACATTTTGAACCTATGCATTAGTTATGCAAGCATTAGTTATACATCCTATTTGGTATTAGCCTATGCATAACTAATGCATAGAAAACAATGGTATTAGCAATGCAATGGGTTTTAATGCATGCATTAGCTTAGTGAAAGACAAAATTGTCCTTCAAAATTTATGCTTGATTAAAATATGCTAGTTAGTATATTAATGCAAGTTCAAAATAATTCAAATAGTGAGAAATAAAATTATATCCCTAGTAAATAAATAAATACTTAGCATATTTCCTTTTTTATAAATAAATATTTAATTTTATTTTACAATATAGGTAGACAAATAAAATAATTTTTTTAAAATTTTTTCATATAAAAATATTTCTCAGCAGATGTTTCTTTTAAAAAGTTAGAGCGCGGACTAGTTTTGAGGGCATTTTTGTAAACAAACAATTCTTTTAGAAATTGTGCAATACTTTAATACATCAAACCAAACAATGAATAAGAAATATGTCAGCATAACTAATGCAAGCATAACTAATACCAGCATTACTAATACACCATATTCAGCATTATTCTTGTGCACCCTACCAAACGACCCCTTAGTACATTGTGCAAGTTCTAGACTATCATGATTTCCCTGGCGTGCTATTGTGTGAGTTCATTGCACACCCTACTTATCATGCTATTAGGCACGCTTTATGTGATATCAATTCAAATGTTGTGTTGATGTGTGAGAAGAAAGGGAGAACGCATAGTACTATGCCAATGGTTAAGGTTTTTTAAGGCAGCAAAAGGTGTGCTTGAAGTTGGTGAACATGAGAATTTTACCGAGTGATCATGATACATATATTTTGAGGGAGCGTGTGTGCCTTGTCTATTTCTTTATGATTGGGAAGACCGTGAATGTGGGTCATTTGGTGCGCGAGCAGATGGAGTAGACTGGAGCTGGCAAGCTCTCTAGGATGTTCTTTGGCAATGTACTGACCCATTACTTGCGACTTGAGAAAGTGTCTGAGGATCTGGATTGTGATGTCATTATTCTGGCATAACCTAGAGCTACTGACATCTCTAGTATACTTGGGCAGATGAGGACGAAGATTTTGAGCGTCATTCTCGGAATGTAGCTTCATGGCTCACTTTCATGAGATGTTGGACCTTTAGCTCTAGATTGGTGGCTGACCTACTATGCATGAGGAGAGGAGTCAATTGCATGAGCGATTCTGCCCAATAGTCATGCACAACAGTTGGTTAGCATTGGGTTTGGCTAAGGAGTGCCTCCAGAGGAGGATATAAATACTCTCGAGCCATATGTTCATGAGGGCGTTGCAAAGGAGGAGGTAGATGATGCCGCGAATGATGAGGATGAGGATGCTATTCATGATTGATTTGACTTGGCTATGGAGACTGACAAGGCGTTCTTCTTGGACGGCTTTGAGTGGCAGGGAGTTTCTTTTTACACCCTCATTATTTTTGCTTTTATTGTGCATTAGGAATACTACACTTTTTAAGTGTGAGGTGGGAAAGTTCTCTCGGTAGATAGTTAGTAGTAATAATCTTAGCTTATTATTTTTTGCATTTGTTAGTTTAGTAGTACCATTGGTTTATTAGCTTAGTAGTAGTAGTTAGTCGCAGTTTAATTAATTCTGGAAAAAAAATTAAATTAAAAAAAACTTTTCTCGACGATGGATCTCCTTGACAATCCTATTGAGAGATTCGAGTCTAATCAAAAACAAAAAAATGGAAAATAAAAAAATACAAAAATATGTTCTTTCTTTATTCTTGTTTTTTCTTCTTTTTTAGGTAGTAGTAACGTGTGTAGATAGGTTATAATCCCCTTTGATTTTTCTTTGCACACCGATTATTTTTTAAAGGATGTAATTTGAATCGGGTGACTTTTTTAGAGTAGTTTAGGATGTAATAAATAAAAGAGAGAAGATTGTTGTGATTCTTAGGAGCGATTTGATTTGTTTGATACTAGCATATTTATGCCTTGACATTACTTTCCTGTAATTATAAAGTTTTTTATTCACTGACAATTTGGATAATATGCTTTGTGATGCCTATACTCATTTCTTGACTCATGTTCATTTGTGTTGTAAGCTTAATATTGTTTAGCTCTGTGAAAATTTGCTTTAATTTGAAAGTCGGAATGAAATCATCTTTAGTGAGTCATGTTCCATGTATGAAGTAAATGTTTTCTGCAGTTCATGCTTTGCATTTTCGTTTATAACTTGTTTGGTATGTGAGTTAAAGCGAAATCCTAGATATGGCTCAGTTTAAAAAGTGATTTTAGGTCTTCTTTAACCCGTTTGAGCTTTATATACTATCATTAATAAAAATATTCCTAGTTACCCTTTTTGAGCTTGTAAGTCTTTTGTTTGGCACACGCATTACAAGCATATACTCTTTGTTCTTAATTGACTTTGTTAAATTTTTTTTACCTCTGGAGCACTTAAATCGTAAGAATAAACGCTAGAAAAAAGTAAGGAGAGAACTTGGGTAGCCTTTGAGTGAAATCACATAAAAAAAAATATACCTGTGTACGGGAATAAAAAAAAAAAAGAACCACCAGCCGGGAGTGCAAAAGCATAAGAAAAATATTGAAGAAAAAAAATTGTTCTATGAATGAAAAAACAATGAAAAGAAACAAAAAGTAGAAATAATACATCATGTCCCTGCTAGTGGGTTATGAACAAAGTAGTACTTAAAGAAAGAAACATTTTTGGGTAATCTTGTTTGATGATACTTGAACATGGGTTATGAAAAATCTGGGCTTAAAGTTAAATGTTGTGATATGTTAAAGTGTTTTAGGAGGATTAGCCACTATTTACTGAATATACATATCTTGTCCCTGGCCCATATTACAACCATAATAAAGTACTAATTGGTCTCAGAATGAGCATGCCTTCATTAGCAAGAGTTTACATAATGGGCAAGCCTATAGTATCTTTTAGGTGCATGCGACTTCTTTGTGAGAGTGAACGAAGTATTTTAGATGTGGGAGTTCTTAAATTACATTCAAACTCTTGATCTGAATGTGTGGGCTATTTACTCTCCTTATTATTTTTATGAGGACACATGATTTTATAATGGAAAGGTATTATTAGACTTTTTGGTTGAAGTGAGTGTTCAAGCCTATGAATACTTTGTGGCTTTGAGTCAGTTCTTGAGGGTAGGTTGTTATGAACTTGTTGTCTAAAGTTTGAATGTGCTTGGTATAAAAAAGTTGGAGAAGTGTGTTGAGAATGCTATGCTAAAGCTTATGTGTTGCTATCAACTATGATCACAGTATAGTGTGCTTTGAACATCTGACCTCGTGAGGTGCCTATGATTTAGAGCAAGTGATTGTTGACTCAAGGGTGAACAACATTTAAGTTTGTGATGTTGATGTCCGGCTAGAATTACATGTTTTTTATGACTTACTAGTATAATATAGATGGTTATGGTGACGTTTTGAGCATAAATATGTTGTTTATGTGCATAGGACCACTTGGAATTCGAATGGAGGAACTTGCGCGATTTTTGTACCAAAATAAAAAAAAGTCGAGTGCGGGAGATGACCAGGCGAAGTGCCCTAAAGGCACCTGATTCAGGCACGGGGTGCCGTGGAAAGCGGCCAAATCAGCCACAAGGGGAGCAACGCAACTGTGGGACGTGTCCGATGGTATTTTCTCCTGGGGCTTTCCCCTACCAAGTGTAAATAGTCCTTAAAATTGTTTTTTAGATGGGGAAGACTTGTTTTGGAGGTGAAAGGCTACAGGAGCACTTTGGGAGCACATGATCATGCAGTTTTCCTTCTTTATAGTTTGTAGTTTTTATGCTTTCAATTTGTGATGTTATTGTTATTATGACTATGAGTTGCTAATTTTATTATCTAGGGTTTTGATGAAAGCTTATAGGATGAATTTTTGTTACATTTTAATATAGTTGAGCCTTTGAATGTCTTTACTTGTTCAGCTACGTGTTTATTTCAGTTGGTTGAAGGGCCCTTGATTAACTGTACCTATTTATTATGTGTTGCTTGATAAAGAACGTGTATTTATGTAGTTATTACAAAGCGTCACTCACTTGGTATATGAGAGATCCATATTACGGGTTTAAAAGCGAAATTAGAGATAAAAAAGTATTGACCTTTGTCGTAGTGAGCTGTGAGAAAGTGTTAGCTAGAGTAGATCGAGAGAATACGTCTACTATATTATTGTGATTGCTCAAGAGAGAATCGTGGTAAGTAGAATGCTCACGATCGTAGAGAACAAATTGGCAGGTAACGTAGTAAGAAGGATTCCGACAATTGGAGAAATCATAACTCTTGGCCTCATTAATTTTATCTGCGACTCTTGCGCAATTAGTTGATAATTTTAATGCATTTTATTATTTTATATTAGTTAGTTTAAAAAATCAAAATTATTATTTGATAATTCGAAAAGCTAATTTGCCTGAATTCCTACGATAGATAAAGTTGTAATTGATAGGTTAATTTTCCGTGGGATTCGACTGTGGACTATTTAGCAGGATATATTTGCAGAGACTGCTAGTCTTCTACTAGGCGTAGTTGAGCTTGATTAATTTTAGCACCGTTGCCGAAGAATTAACAATATTATTAATTATAACTTAAAAATATTGCTAGGATTTTTAGTTTAATCAATTTTCTTCCCTTATTTTATATTTTTTCTACTGAGATTCTTACATTCAGAATCTTGTGTGTCTCATGTGTATGCCTAGAAGTTCCTCGATAACTGATGAACTGCTTGAAGGTTTTTCGTATCCAGAGAAAACCTTCAAGGCACTGAATCGTGCAAAAAAGAAAGATAAACAAATACCCCATCAACAAGAAAGGTTCGAAAGTGAGACTATAATGGGTGATAATTTGAACAACAACAATAACAATCCGAACAATGAGAACAACCTGAACACTCCTCAAATTCTAGACCGCCATGTGGCACCTCTTGTGCCTGAAGATGCTCTCTATGATTAGGCATAACCCACAGCTGACAATCTGGCAACTGCAATTACAATCCCTCAAATACAAACGAAAAATTTTCAAATCACAAATAACATGATGCTTTTGCTGCAGAACAACAAGTTGTTCTACGGGTCTCATATCGATCCAGAATAGCACTTGCAATTTTTTTTTTCAATTTGTGTCACTCAGAGGCAGCCGAATGTGACACCGGAAGCAATTAGGCTACTACTATTTTCATTCTCAGTGCATGGGGAAGCACAGACTTGGCTCAAATTGCTCTCAATTAACTCCATAACCACTTGGGAAGAATTAATCAAGTAGTTCTTGAACAAGTTTTATCCACCCAACATGACTGCAAAGTAAAGTAATGAGGGTTGAAGTAGAAACCAAAAGAGACGTTGCAGGAAACTTTGGAAAGATTCAAAGAGATGTTGGTAAAGTGTCTGCACCATGGCATTCTAAATCTGATGTTGGGATAGTGATTCTAGGGCTGGTTAATAGTTTGAAAGTTGATGTCGATATTTCAGCAGGTGAAGTATTTTTAAGCAAATCATTCACCAAGTGTAAAGTTCTTCTGATAAGATGACTCAAAATTCAGGATGTAAGACGAGTGACATAACACTCACCCCTGTAGTCCCTTCAATGACTCTAGATCTGAATGATTTAATAGATGGAAACCTTGCGACCTTGATGACTCAGATGAGCATTTTGACCAAAAAGATTGATGAATTACGCCAAAACAAATCCACATAGTTAACACTACGGATGGAGGGTTATGCACACCCTACATAACTAGCCATACGTTTGCTCATGGAGTAGTAAATGCGCTAACCAGAACTACCAAGAGGATATAAATTATGTGAGCAACTTTGATGGCCAAGAGACAAGGTGGAAAACAATGAGGGCAACAAAATCAACAATATAGACCCGGAGCAATACAATAACAATGTTGGAATTGCACGACAACCGGGGCAAGTGGTGCCTTATGAAATGCAATTTGGTTATAATTAGCAAACAATAACAATAACAATTGGTTTACCAACAGCCTTATCAATTTTTCGTTTTATTATTTTATCCATACTCATTATTTTAATTAATTTGAATTCGCATAGTATAAATCCTAACAAGAAGTTTTTCATTTCTAAGGCTCGAGCGCAAGATGTGACTTAGTTTTCCCGCACCAAAATTCAAAAGTTAGTTCCTAAAACCGTTGGTGTCCACCTCAAATTAGTCTTAGGTTATCCGTTAATTGTTCCCCCTTAAGTTACTCCCTGTTTGTTTCTCGTTAGTGGTATATATTTGTTTACTATTATTATCTTCCCAAGCTTTATGAACTCATCTGCAATACAAAAATCAATTATAAAACAAGAGATAGCTGCTGAACAGAGAATAAATAAATAAATAGAAAGAGAACAATGGCTTCCATTAGTTGTAATTCAGTCATTTTTCTCTTTTTCCTTTTACTTTTTGCTTCTTTAGTCCCAAACTTGGATGCCAACATTGCCGAATTTGACCCTTATTTGGAAAAGAAAGCTGAAGAAGCCCTCAAATCTTCTCTTGCTGCTTATAATGAAAATCCTGAGGAACTCACTGAAACTTTCAACAAAGAAGTCGGAGAGTGAGTGCTTTTATAACTCTAATATTTTTTTTTTGAACAATTTTTCACAGCTACGTTATTTACTTATTTATTTATTATTAACATTAGTTCTTGTCCAACATTGCAGAACAATCTTGAATGGCACAAGGAGGTATCTGAGGGATATGATATGAGAATAATGAAAGGATAATGGTTTTGAGCAGACGCAGAACTAGAATTTGAAGTTTCTAGTTTTTGCACTTGTCACAAAACTCGTATCTCATTTTAGTTATTGATTTTATAATAAAAATAATTTTATATATTTTAAATAATTTTCATAATATAAATACATAATTTAAACAAAAGCTACTGAGTTTATTCATACTAGACTTAACACTATAGCTCCACCCCTAATTTTGAGACTTGAAATAAAAATTAAGATACTTGTAAGAAAATGATGTACTCCCTCAGTTCACTTTTACTTATCTACTATGGACTTTACACACCCCTCAAGAAAATACTAAATGAAGTATATAATTTACCATGATATCCATATTAATTGATGTATATTTTTAATGGATTTGAGAAAATGAATTGAAATGAGTAACAAATACTGTGGGTATAACAACAACAACAACAAAGAAATTATCTTCTCTTGATATGCTAAAAGTGACAAGCAAAAGTGAAAATATATTTTTAGAATATTGGACCAGTAAAGGTGAACGGAGGTAGTACTTCAAAAGATTATATAATTTGATTTTTCCCATGAAAAATATATATACTTTCAAAATCTTAAAACATGAATAACTACAATTATATCAAATAAAGAAGATAAACATACAAAGGTCCCGTTTGGCCATGAGTTTTGCCAAAATAAATTTGGGATTTATTTTCAAAACTCATGTTTGGCCATAAATTTTGCCCATATTTTGGCCAAATCCCAAATCCCAAATTTCAAATCCCAAAATCAGCTATTGAGTTGATTTTGGGCCAAAATCCCAAAACTTGGGAATTATATACATGTTTTCCAAAATAAAGTTAGAAAATATGTTTTGAAAACGTATGTCCAAACACATTTTTATCTTCAAACTAAACTTCACCCAAATCAAATTTTTCAAAACAAATTTGAGATCTATGGCCAAACGTTAGCTAAGTTTGATTGAATTTTCACACTTTAAGATTGCATTAAAAAAAAGTAATTGCAGGGAGAATCTGTTCAATTCATACACTTAGAATGATGCAATTTGTAGTGAGAGAATCTATCACGATCCCAATTTTTGTTTGTAAGATGTTGTGGCGGCACCTAATCTCTAAGACTAAGTACGAAATAATTAAATAATAATTTAAATCTCAAAACAACAACAATTATATAAAGTAAAATCTGCAACCCAACATGTACATCTCCTAAAACCCGATGAAAATATAAGTCACAAGCTCTAGATACAGTGCTGAACACTCCTATACATTACTGTCTATAAAGGTGTAAAGAAATAAGAAAGGACGGGATAGAAGGAGATTCCGAGGCTTGCGGACGCGGGCAGGTATACCTTGAAGTCTCCAAAGCAGGCCACTCAACGCGCTAATACCAAGGCTGATAGAATGTACCTGGATCTGCACAAAACATGTGCAGAAGCGTAGTATGAGTACACCACAACGGTACCCTGTAAGTGTCAAGCCTAACCTCGGTAGAGTAGTGACGAGGTCAGGTCAAAGCACTACTGGAGATAATTAGAACAAGACAAAAGATATAATGATCTAATGGTATATTGAAAATGACAAGGAAGCGAACAATAAAGAATTTATGGAAAGTAACAACACGAGATGAAGAAAACTAATACAACACGAAAGGAAAACAAGGATTTTACATGTTAAGGAAACAACAACCAAACAATACAGCAAATAGAGAAAGATCAACAGGGGCAATCCCGAGGTACCGCCTCGTAGTCCTAAATCATAAAAGTAACTCACACTCTTTCCTTATATCACCGCGGGAGTCTTTATATTTGTTTTGAAAATCATTTTTCCGAAATAGCACCCCACGTCTTAGCCCACCTTATCACATTGCATGACTTCTAGTAGTTCCCCTACTAGCCACGCATATCAAGCCCACCTTATCTCACCGCATGCATGTCAACACGCAGACCTTATACCACCGCATGCGTATCAATAATAACAACGATACGGCAGAAACCTCGTTCAAATAGTAACAACAGCACGGTAGAAACCTCGTGCAAACAACCAAACAAGCACCCCAACAATAATATGAAATCCAAAACATAACAACTGAAATAAATTATATTTCACAACTTACAGCTTGCCTCAATAGAACACACGGCTCTTTACAACTCTAGTGGGGCCATAAGATATGGAGGAATAGAGACGT